ATGAAAAACCTAGAATGAATAAAAAAATTAAAATAGTGGATATGTGAAATTATCTGATTTTTCTCCCTAAAATTCCTCTGCTTTGGTTACATTACTTAAGTGAGATAAAATTCACACACCATAAATTTCACCATTTTAAAGTGTAAAATTCAGTGGTCCTATATTCACAACATTGTATAATCGTCGTTACTTACTTTTATTACTAAAAGTAAAATAAAAATAGAGCTCTAAGAAGAAATTTTTGAAATATTACTCAAGGCAGTTTAAGTCTCCAACATATCGTAACTTTAGAATTAAACATAGTACTACCGAATGCCCAATAACCTAGAAACAAAATGAGTCAATACCACCTTTCAGTTTCTGCAAATAACTCTGGATGTTATTACAATTCAAACATCAACAAGAAGAGGGAAAATGACAACTATGACAGACATTGTATATCCTATTACTGACTAAATACCTCCTAAATTTTTGCTAATAAGTCATACATAAAAAACGCATTATGATATACTTTGAATCCCCAAAACAGCCAAAGCAGCATGTTAGAAGTTCTGTTCCACTGAAAAAAAAAAAAAAAAATAGAAATGCCATTCCTGCTACTAAAGACATTTGGTACAGGTCAAATGCATCACGCAAATCACAAATAAAGAAAACCTCTACCTTAAAAATTGTGCAAAGCCCAAGATTATAGAAATGATAGAACTGTGTATTTTATCTTCTAAGAATTAAAAGTACAAACTTCCAGCTTTAAAATAAATAAGTCAAAGGAATATAAAATACAGCATAGGAAATATAGTTAATAATACTGTCATAACTTTGTATGGTAACAGATGGTCAGCGCATTTATCCTGGTAATATATAGAACTGTCAACTGTTGTACACCTGAAACTAATAACACCGTAGGTCAATTATACTTCAATTTTAAAAAAGAATTCAAAATAATAGATTTAATATCACTTGTTTTCAAAAATACTTTCTGGAAAGACAAAGCAATCTATAGTCTTTCTGAGTTCTACCTCCTTGGAGAATTCTAGTAAAATCAGGATTTTACAATTAACATTTTATTTCTCAGCACAGTCAAATCTAATTAAGAAGCACATGAGAGAGGGGTGCCTGGGTGGGTCATCAGTTAAGGGTCCAACTTCGGCTCAGGCCATGATCTCATGGTTCATGGGTTTGAGCCCCGTTGTCGAGCTCTGTGCTGACAGCTCAGAGCCTGGAAACTGCTTCAGATTCTGTGTCTCCCTCTCTCTCTGCCTCTCCCCATCCCCCGCTTGTAAGCTTTCTCTCAAAAATAAACATTAAAGAAAAATAAATTTCTTAAAAAAAGAAGCACACAGAAGATACTCAAATTCCAAGCCCAAATATGTTTGACACTTTGCTGAATTAGAGACCTAAGTGTCTTCATTATTTGATAGGTCTCACATTGAGTTTTAAACTAAATTTTTAAGTAAAGATTCCAATCTACTTATCCTTGTGGACAGCCACGGTCTTCAAAATCTAGGCTAGTCTACCTTTCCAGCCTAATTTCCGACTATTATAAAGTCACATCTTAGGGGTCAGATCCTAAAGCCAATGTGCAGTACAAATTAATCTTGAAAACCCTCTATATCATCCATTAAGCACAATTACATATAAACTAACAACCTGCTTTTCTTTGTGCACTGAAATAGATACTTATTTCTTTGCAAATATAAAAAGTAACTAGCAAACATACTAAGGCACCATATTGTCACTAGACTAACATACAGCAAGGTAAGATATTCGTACTATGAAAGGATGTGGAAGCTGAAAATGACCGGGGAAATAGAAAATTCACCTCTCCCACTTCATGCCCACCCGAGGCCACACCCTCACCTCATTCCAGTGGAATGGCAGAAAAACACTGCTTACATATATGCATTTAAGTTCTCTAATACTCCTTCATTCCTTCCCTGCTAACCCCTTTATTTCTTTGTCTCTTTCATTTTTTTAGGAAAAACAGAACATCCAAATAAAATCATCTAAGTTTAAGGCATACTGGATGCACTCTACTGAGCTCTGTGCTATATCCAATAGCCCCAAAAGAGCCTCTATGTAGTACTTTAAGAACACAGCAGACTGAAAAGTAAGAACCAAAACCAGACAGGGTTTGGTTTTACCATGTGCTTACCAATGTGACCATGGGCAAGTAACCTAATCTCTCCATGCCTCAGTTTCTCTATCTCTAAAATAGGGACAACAATAATACCTACTTCATTCGGTTGTTGTGAAGGACTGTGTGAGTTAGGTACATACTCAGAACACTGCCTGATGCATAATAGGTTATGGAGGTATTGGCTATTATTTTCCCAAATGGACTGCTCACTCAATTCTATTCTTTAAAAACCTGCCCTAATACATCTTCCTCAAATAAGGCAGTAATAACCTTCAACCAGAGACAAGTTCTCCTATACCCTTACACTTCTATGTTCCTTAATTTTTGTATGACTCCACTGACTCATGTATACTTCCTAGAAATGTTACTTACCTTTTTATGTGTGCTTATGTTGTCACATAAGTTATAAACTCCTTTTAACACATGGGAATACACACTATGCCTCCCTGATAGTCACTTAAATAAGGACTCAATAAATATTGTTTATGAGGCAAGGTTACTGGATAAAGGTTGTCCAACACAATACAGAGTTTCATAAAGAAATCAACTTTTAAATACAGATTTTCAGTTTGTATTAATGTACAAGTCTTCAGCCAAGAATTGTTATAAAAGCTACAACTACTCTGAGTTTAAGTCTCAAAAATCAGGAGTTAGCTTATAAGGAAGGGTTTGTAGTCTCTAAGTTAAGAATATTAAAGCAAGGTTAGCTTTAGCTTTCTGTGACTTGCAAACAATGCTGTCAGAGTTGGTCTAAAGTCAGAAAACCAACCATTTCTTAGACACTTACTTAAAAGGTGTTAGACACTGCAACTATGTACATGAAAAGATTTAGTCCTTCCACTCAACAAGTCTATAGAGGGACAGCTAATTAAACAATAATATTCAAGGTACAGCGGGAAAAACAGAGTAAGGATACTGACACCCATTCTTCTTTAACCTCAGTTAAAGTCTTTTTTGTTAAAAAATTTTTTAACATTTATTGATTTTTTGAGAGACAGAGACAGCACAAGCAGGGAACGGAGGGAGGAAGGGAGGCGGAGAGAGACAGAGAGACAGAGAGAGAGAGACAGAGAGAGAGAGAGAGAGAGAGAGAATCTGAGGCAGGTTCCAGGCTCTGAGCTGTCGGCACAGAGCCTGACGAAGGGCTTGAACCCATGAACTGTGAGATCATGACCTGAGCCGAAGTCGGATGCTCAACCGACTAAGCCACCCAGTTGCCCCATAATCTCAGTTAAAGTCTTAACAAGGAAGAGAAAAAACAAAAGCTGTAGTTCAATAAAGGACTGACCAGAAAAACTAATAAATAAGATATATTCAGAGATTGCACAGTTTCTCTAAAAATCATTTCAGCTGCCTTAAATTTTTTTCATCTGGAAAAATGTCAAAGATTTTAAATCAAATATCTGGCCTTGACCCCCACATATTATTCCACTAAGTATATATTCAAGAAGTTATTCTTTAAAATTTCAATATCAAATTTTGCTTGAATTGTTATAATTCTCCTAACAGATGTAGGAACTTCTCTTACAAATTAAAAAATGATATTATATTTGTTTATAAATAGTTTGTCATGTAAGATCACAAGCTTTACATATGTAAAGGTAAGATGGAGTACGTCTTCACATGTAACGATCATGTTAACTACTCTACAAAAGAAAAGGTATGTTCTATACATTTTATTCATGTATCTACTACCTCTGCTTCACAGCTGCAATTTGCAAACTGGGTATACTGTACTTCTACTCAACCAGAGACAGGCAAGTTAACCAACTCTAGCAAACATCAAGTTTGCAAACTGTTACCAAGTTTTCACTATTGAAACTAACACAACACAGATATTTCCAAACAACCACAAAGTACCATCAGGTAAAATACTCTGATCAACTGAGAAAACATTCTTCTCTTCAGTGAAGGAGGATTTCATAGCTAATTCAATTAATCTAATTCAACACCCAAAGAAAAATACCAGGAGTTGAGTGTAATTAGCAAAAATTAATGAACACTACATAAAGACCCAGCATCAATTCAATTTTCTTTGTCAAGGACAGTGACTCCATTACCCTGCCTTTCACCTTCTTAAAACATATAGAGAAATACAACAAAGTTTCATCATCCTTAGGATTTAGGTTCTAAAGTCAGCCTATATGAGGTGAAAATATTATACAGTCCTTTAAGACTACTAATCTTTATATACACCATGCTGCTTCTTCAAATTTAACAATGATGGTACCAACATACTGTCAAATAACCCCTGACAGCCTCTTAAAATGGACTTCAGGCAGAGTATGGTGTTCATAGGATCAAACACATAAGAAAAATGACGCTAAATTAAAGAATAGAGACAGCCATATTTCACTCGCTACAGAGTTTATACTCCTTGAATGAATTTCCAAGGTAATCATTTGCATGACTATGAACCTCTACCTTGTCCCCCAACTTCTTTTTCAAATTCAGAGCACACATGTTTAAGCTCAATGCTCATGTTATATGACTCCACTACAGTATATAAGCCAGAGAATAAAATTATCCTGGAGTAATGAGGAACCACTAGACACTATTTGCTTTTGTAGCATTACCAACTGAAGAGAACTTCTTGACAGTGTTCTATTCCTCCACCACCCCCACCACTTTTCAACTTTTAGTTTCTAAAATTGTGCCACCTTAAAAAAAAGAGGTAAGAAAATATATAAATCCTATTATGCCACAGAGTTAAATTTTAAAATGTATTCACATAATAAAATATACCACGATTCCTGCAGTTACTTAGGCTACTGTCTTCTTAAATTCATTCAGAGTTGATTAATAACTTAAAACTCAGATCAAAATCTAATTTTAGTAAAAAAAAAAACAAAACATATCTTACCCACAACCATAAGTGTGAATTCAAACCCTCTCTTCACTGATTTTCTGTACACTTGATTTGGGAGATTTGCAAATCCCACATAGCCTTCAAGGTTCTTCTGTTGCTAAGAAAAACAAAAAGGGCCAAGTTATTAATGTATCAGCAAAACTCTTCTGTCACACATTTCAAATTCCCTTCAATAACCTATTTTAGAAAACTACACAAACTATTATTCATAGCAAATCAAACGGATTTTATTATAGTGTTGCCAATAAAATAATTGCAGCAACAGACAAAATGAATTGAGTATGAGTTGATTTGACAGCGGTCAATTATAAAAACCCAAAGAAAATAAAAACCGATGAAATCTGCCTCAGAGCAAAGATTTCAATTTACAATAAGTCAGTAAGAAGATTCTGACTAATAAACTAAAAACATAACGAAGGGTTTTTCACAATAAAAAAAATTCACATCCCCTTAATACTATATCAAGAACACTTTCAATGATCCCTTTTGCTCATACTAATTACCACAGGTATGAATACCTTGAAATTTGTTTTCTTACTCATGAAACAAAATCAAATGTTGAGTTTAAACAATTTTTTTCATATTCCTAAAGGCTCTAGTGATCAATTCAATCAGTAAACAATATCTTTCAAGCTATTATACCAGGTCCAATTATGCCACTTCAGCATTTCAGATGACCCTGTTGCCTCCCTCACCAGGGACATCTGGATTTATCCAGATTTTAAAGAAAATCAGAATTCGTTTTCTGCATGGTTTTTGATTCTTTGATGACGTCAACAATAGCTCCATGAGTAATTCAAAGAAACCTATTTTTAAATTGGTGTAGTAAATTAATCTGACTTTTAACTTACCCAATGCTGAGAAAAACTGTCCATAGTTCAGACCATCTGAATGAGTAGCCTGTTAATTTTACCTAGAGGTAGGTCTTATTCATCATTAAAATACAATGGCAAAATATTCCTAAGAGGTACATATTTCTCTTAAACGTTTTTGACACAATTTCTCATTAAAAAAAAAAAAAAAAAGACTCCTATGAGATCAACGCAGCAATTTAACACAGGTGGATTTAGCAAATAGCTATCTGCATTCCTCACTAGCATCACAGATGTAACAAAATATTCCATCCATCACCTTATACCCTTTTTTCATTCATATAATCTTTAAGCCAAATGTTGAGAAGATAACCAAACCAATTAAACGGAAAACTAATTTTAAATATACCAATTAGGATACTGTTCAGAGTACAGTATTTTAAAATCAAATATTTGAAAGCCTACTATGTGTATTTAATAATGTATTAAATTTAAGGCTTCATTGACTATTTCATTCAACTGTAAGTTAAATTTAATTTAGACTGAAAACATATCTGTATAAATTATCTCATATACTCACAGCTACTTTGTAAAGAACACATTTCCATCATTCCAGTGTTCCAGATTCCAACAGAACAGATCCACAGAGGAACAGTAAATGAGGAATTCCAAGAATTGTACATGACACATTCAGTCCAAACAGGAATGGCAAATCCATTGGAACATAGCAAAAAATAGAAGGAAAAATAAAAGTTACTTACATGGAACTCAACAAAGTAGAAGTAAATTACAAATAAAGTGAGGACAGACTTTTCTCCACACATGTCAAAGTAATAATTTTTTGTGTGTGTGGGATATAAGGCCCAGTGAGTTTTAATCAATTTTCAGCAGTTCTGACAAAATATGGAACAAAACCTCTTATCTTTTTATAAAACCCAATTACTATGCTCTACACCTGAAGTTTTAAAAGAAATGGTAGAAAAGCTGTAAAGTATAAAGTTTCAGCAAGGGGTGTGTGTGTGTGTGTGTGTGTGTGTGTGTGTGTGTGTGTGTGTGTACACACAAAAGGCAAAGACACACACAGACAAAAGGCAAAGAAAAAACACCACAGGGGTGTTAGGGGGTCTTAGGGGGACTAGGCCTAGGACAGTTTTTGGCAGACAGTACAACACTGGGATTGAATCAAGGGGGAAAAGATTTCTAGGCAAAGGGACCCTAAAGTGGAGATGAATTTTGTATTTTTAGGACCAAAAAGAAGGTACATGTATACACACACACACACACACACACACACACACACACACACACCCGGAACCAAGTTTAAATCCCATGAAGAAAAAAAAAATGTAACTTTCATACGATTTTGCTTTGTCAATCACTGAATTAAGACAGCCCAGATCAGATAAATTCAAATGTTTTAGGACAAAATCTTTAATATAGTGCTGTATTTCAAGTTCTATTGATTCAAGTTCAGAACTGGAAGAAATACACACATGTGGATACAGGAAAGGAAGCTAAAGATAGCAAGCAACAAATGGGAGGATGAAGTTAATGTGAGCTGTGAAAACTGAAAGGCAACTAATGAAGCATAGAAAAGAAAGTAGACTAACCTTAGACAAAATGTCTGGGAAACTGAACCTCTATATTCTATATTAACACAAATCTATGAGTTATATCACAACCTGGAACAGATGATGGTGATTATTCAAATGTCAACTTCACAGAGAGGCGTGCCCTGACCACCCTTATCTAAAATTACAATTCCATTCTCCTCAGTACTTTGCTGCAAGCTTTATGTTTCTCTCCTTAGCACTTTTTTTGCCATCTAATATATTCTACTCATCCTGTTTATTGCAATCTCCATCCTACCCCACCTCCAACTACAATGTTAGCTCCATCAAGATAAAGATTAAATAAATTACATAAATTATGGCATCAAAAAAGAAGAAGCCATCTGGGAGAGTAGAAGAAGTTTCAGAGAGAGTATTTTAGGTTGCATATGCAAGGGATGCTCCAGACAAAAGGCAAAGAAAAAACACTAGAGTCCCGTGTGTCTTAGGGGGACTAGGCCTAGGACAGTCTTTGGCTGACAGTACAATACTGGGATTGAACTAAGATAAGGGGGAAAAGAGTTCTAGGTAAAGGGGTAGACCCTAAAGTGGAGATGAATTTGGTACTCTCAGGACCAAAAAGAAGGTACATGAACTACAATGAAGTGAAGTGGTGGATTAGGGGGATAAGTGATAGAAAACGAGGTCAGGAGGCAGGCAGAGCCAGACCATGTGGGACCCAGCCAAAGTAAGAAATTTGGATGTTATTTTAGGCATGATGGGAAGCCACTGGAGGGTTGTACACAGGCAAATGACCTGACCTGATTTGTATTTTAAAGATAGCTCTTACAGCTAAGAGAAGGAGTGGAAATAAGAAAACTAGTAAGGAGCCTACTGCCACCAGTCCAAGAAAGAAAGGGTATACTGAATTTAGACAGTGTGGACACAAGAAGAGGCAAGAAGGATTCAGAATATATTTTGCAGGTAAAACTGCCAGGACATTGCTAATGCACTGGATATGACTGAAGGAAAAGCAGACCAAGATAACTCCTAGGTTTTCGGCTTAAATAGCTCAATGGAGTGATATCTCTAAGGGAAAATAGGAACAATAAGGGGAGTGGGAGAGTGGACAATGAAGGACAACATCGTCAAAATCAAAAACAGCTTTGAATATGTTAAGTCTGGTGTGTCTACTATATATTCAAGAAGAAATATCCAGGAGGCAGCTAAATACCTAAGTCCAGAAACTGCAAGGTTAGTTGGTGCTGAAAATACAGATTAAGGAATTATAAACTTATAGGCAGTGTTAGGAGAGGACTGGATTCTCAAGGAGAAACTATAGATAAAAAAGGGGTCTAGACAGAGTCCTGGAGCACTCCAACATTGAGATGTCAGGCTGAGAAAGAGCGAGAAAGATCAGTTAGTCAGTGAGAACACCAGCACTGGCTCAAGGTCACTCAACTGTATTAAATGCCATTGAAGAGTCAAATGAAATACTAAAATATAACCATAAAAATAAGGTTACTGGTAACTTTAGTTAGGAGCAATCACAGTAACTTAGTGAGGAAGAAGAGTGAGTAGGTTGAGGGTAAACAATTCTTTGCACAGAACTATAACATTTTAAATAATTATATATTTTATTTTAAAATTAAACACATTACTTATCAGTCCCCCTATAATTCTTTCCCAGAGGGAAAAAACCATGTCATTCTCATCTCTATATTCCTAGCAAAGTGCGGATGGATACATGGGAGACATTTTAAAAAGCTAAATGACTAAAATATATACTTTTAGGAAAATTCCTTCTGAGGAAAAATTTGTGTCCAAAGACAAAAAAAAAAAAAAAAAAAAAAAGACTTAGGGAATATACTAATAATATAACATTGGTTGACTAAAACAGATTTTTCACATTTCATAAGAATCTTTCCTTATCCCAAATTCTAAAATCAGCCACAGTCTGTAATTCAGAAACCTTAACCACCCACTGATTCTTTTCCTGGGCAAATAAAATGTTCACAGTACCAGTGTGAAACATAATCTCTGGATAAGAAACATTATTTATAGATGTGATATAACTGTGACACTTGTAAGCATGTGAATATAGATAAAAGCATATTCTCAACCAAGCATCTACCAAAATACCATAAGGTCTTAAAAGTATTACTTGATTTGAAACATCAGTTATATAACAAGAAACAATTATCAAATCATCTTTTCTAAAGGAATATATTTACAAAAATCTTTCAGTTTACTATCCAAATCTCTACATCAAAATTCATATTTAAGAAAATCAAACCACAATAATTCATTGCTTATTGTTTCACTGCCTGTGGAAAAATCAACTTAAATACAATATCCAGTAATCTCAGTGTTTAATTTAACCTTATTTCTAGAAATCAATTATATTTAAAGAACAAGATGCTTTCAAACAGGTTCCAACTGATAGATTATTGGAACCCTTAAGAATTCTTCACATTCTCTTGCCATTTGTTCCAATTCCAAAGAATAAAGTTACGAAAATCCTGGCACCTGAAATCCATTATCATTTTTAAAGGTCTGAATGTTAATATGGGTTTTAATAAATTTTCCAAAAGAGAAAAGCAGCAATTTATTTTGAAAACTGCCAAATGTATATTTCCACAACAACAATAAAATTGAGCAAGGGGAGTTATAGCAGAAAAGAAGCCTTATAAAAATCAGAATGAGGAAAATTAAAACATATCCCTGCTAAGATGTGCTACAAACCTTCAGCTTTCCTCATCTTTACAAAATAAAACATTCAGCCCCAAGTTACCTTTGTATCACCAGAATTCTATTTCTCCCTCTAAATAACTGCAATAAAAAAAAAATCAGACTACAAAGATTCAAAGTTTATATCTTTAACTTTAAATTTCAAAGATAAACATTTGATCTTTCTAAATAACTTCAAGTTCAATTTGTAGCCTTTGGAATTTAAAACAGGTATAATATTGTTTTACACACTGACAAAAACCAAAGTTTCTTTCTTCTAAAGTTTAAGCAATTCTAAATACAAAAAACTACACACTACAAAAGGAAAAGATATTGATAATTTCACTTGTCTACTCCTTAGTATTCCTATCAAAAGCCTTACATTAAACACATAGATATAACTGTCCAGCACTTGCTTAGTCTTACATGACCCAATGGAAAAATTAAAGAACTTCACTATTTAAATGTTTTAAATATTTTAAATATAACTGGTATAAAAATATCTAGATTCCAGATTTAATATAACAAGAACACTAAAATGTTACAAGATTACATGGGCATGTCCTAAATGTTGGCTTTAATGTCCCCTCTCCCCAATTTTTTTAATGTTCATTTATTTTTAAGAGACAGAGAGGGAAAGAATGCAATCAGAGAAGGGGCAGAGACAGAGGGAGACAGAGAATCCAAAGCAAGTTCTCCACCATCAGCAAAAAAGCCCGACATGGGGCTCAAACCCATGACCATGAGATCATGACCTGAGCCAAAGTCAGATGCTCAACCAACTGAGCAACCCAGGCACCACCCTCCCCATATTTTTTAAAGGTTCATGTCTTAGTTTGCCTGCCCCCAGCTCCTCTCTTTTTAGTGAGATGAGCAATTATGTCCCTGATGAAACCAACTTTTATTTTCTCTATTCTAGATTCCTAATTAATCTGCTTAAAATATTTTAATATTCAATTCTATGAACACATGTAAGAATGAGATAACTTAAAATTTAAAACAATTTTTTCTTTACCCTGAACTTGGAATTTACATATCTACTTATAGAATTACTGACCACATTCTCATTCAATCAACAGTCACCTGACCCTCACAATGTATGTAGTAACAATTAGGTATGTAAAAGTTAATAAAAACAAGGCCCCTGCTTATGAAAGTAAGAATTTAAGGTCAGGTAAGTTAGAAGGCAATTTTAATAACACAGTGATAAAATACTATGATGTAGGCAAGCATGAAGGATGGCTATGAGAATGAAAAAGGTTGGGGGGGGGGTGTTGCTTGGTCGATTCTGAGGTCACATCCTTC